GTGGTATGGGCAAGGCAGAATTTCCAGCTCATTAGGGTAAGGCTGCGTTCCCAGTCTATTATAGTGGGAACAATAGGGGGAGCTGGAGCAGCTGAGCTTTGCTTGACCAAAAGGTGTTGTCATAAAACACCAGCTTTTTCTCATTCTATTCTAGACTACAGAAAGGGAGAAGGGGATGAAGACTGGAAATTCTTGGCATCTCATAATCCTAATTCCCCAAAACATGCTGTCATGGAAAGTGAAATGCTGACAGAGCAATGACTAGTAGGATGCTGGGAGTATGACATGGAGCGAATGAAGTGCAAGTCTTTGGGCGTGGGGCACCAGCACCAAATGGTACAGTGCATTCTTTCATCCACAGCATTCACCATGCATTTCTAGTTCTACTATTTATATAATTTATTTCATCTCAGAAGAAAATATTTTCGTTGATGATGTGTTCTTACTATAATTCATGAGACCGTATATAACAAGGTAACACTTTGCACTGCAGTGGATAACACATTAATCCCTCTTACAGGATTGTAGAATGGCATTCCTTGCCAGAGGATCTAGAAAACAAAGCCCTGACCTTCTCCTAGATATTATTAAAAGACAATCAAGAATGGTATGCCAGCATTTGAGAGGCCATTGCAAGTAAAGAAGGTTTAGAAATCAATCATGCACAGAAGTTAGGAAGTGGGGTTACAGGAGAGATTTGAAGGAAGACAGAAGTGTTTCTGACAGGCAGAAGCTGAAGACTCTGCAATAGCAACCATCATCTTATACAGGACACAAAAGCCGTGCTCTGGAAGGCAAGCGGAAAGATAAGAAACTGGGAGAACCTGAGAGAGTGAAATGTTATGTGGGAGATGAACGAGAGAGGAAGGTTTATTATTTGGACAAGAAATCTAATACTGATGCAGTAAAAGATAAAAAACTAGTGAATGGATTCAAGGAAGAAAGTAACGTCATCCAGGATTTTGCCTGTAATCTGTCAAATCATCCTCAGTTGTGGTATCTAGCTTTCCTATTATAGGGTAGCGTAGGTGTGTATTTGGGGCACCCTCTGTGCTTTGCCTACAGCATTATCATGAGTCCACTTCCTCTTGTATCCAGAGTTTCTGAGGCAATTAAAACAGCTCCCTGCTTTTACCTGCAATTTCAAAGTAACAATTTTTCCTTCCTAAAACAAATGACAGCCTGAGACTAAGGAGGAATGCTATTTAGTGATTTATAAAGACAGACAACTTATCACCAATGAAATCTTCATATCATGCCACACATTATCTATGTATAAAAGAAAAAAGAAATATCTATAGAAATAGAATGGAATAAGCATTGGCATGACTGTCACCAATAGCATTTCAGGCCTTCGAAAGAAAAAGACAATTTTAAAAGAGCATACATTTTTGACAACGCACAAAGTTTAAAATGCCTGGGAAGTAAAATAGTGGTGAATCAAACAAAAACCATCAAGTCAGCAAATTCTGGTGTCACATCTGCTAGATCCACAAGGGGAAAAAAAAAAAAAAAAGAGAGAAAAAATAAAGGATGGGACAAAAATTCCCAAAAGAGCCCAAGCTTTTAAGTACCTTGTGTGTTAATGACTCCATGAGTTCCAACGTGCTCCTATTTTAATGTTGGATAATTACTGTTACGGTAATCAAAACATCATTTAGTGAATCCAGCATATCATGTTGAAAATAATGTAAAATAATATTGTAAGCAGATAATTTAAATTGACATATGAAGATTTGCTCTCATTCATAGAAATGAAAATTTCTCCACGTTTAGTATATAACACTGCAACCAAATGGAAAAAGTTCAGTTTAAAAGAAAAGTCTACAGAAACCCATGCCAAAACATATATAAAATATTCCCCCAGATCTGTTATTTAATAAAATTTCATGTGTCTATTAGTTGTCATAACTTGTCACTCAGAATCCATACAAACACACGTCAACATGCACGCTCCCACCAGAGATAACAAGGTTTTCCAAGGGCTGATCATGAGCAATGCCTGGACCTCCCCCATCATTTTAACACGCCAAGTAATCAGCCTCATTATGGGTCAATTCCTTATCATATACCTAAAAGTTCATCACCTTGGAAGCATTTTTAATATGGCAGTTGAGTCAGTTGCACAGGGATATGAGTCAAGCACTCCTGATACATCTCGCCTGGTGGGCAGACTGGCCAGCACCAACGCAGGACAAACGTGGCCAGGTTACATCGGTCTTTCTGCTGGACAAATGAAAACATCCCCTTCAACTGCTGAAAAGTTTTGACAGAAAATCACTTTATGCTTGTCTTGTTTCTCCAAGCCACCTTGAGAGAAGAAATTGGGGGGCACAAACCGTGGGTATAGCTCATTACTGCTGTTACAGCTTCAGGTATTCAAATAAGTCCAGTATGAAAAGAAAGCTACTCTTTGTATATGAATGTCTCCTCTTGCAATGTGCATACTAATTCCAATATTCCCAAACCCTGAGCAGTTCCTAGAAGAAAAGGAAGGAAAAAAGACAAGGCTTTCCACAAACACATTTACAGCCCTTACTGTGAAATGGGTCCACTCACCACTGATACATAAAAATATCGGAGAAAGCTAAATAGGAAAAATCAGATGGAAAAATTGGCAGGTGTTTAGAAAATAAAATACATAATGAAGATCGGGAAATGCCAAAAGGTTCTTTAAAAGGCCAGAGGAAGAACTGGGAGTGCTGATACCCAGTTTTGGCAAAGCTCGAGGAAGGAAAAATGCCTGTTATGAGCACTATGGTTGATTTTATCTAAAATAACTCACCCCCCTCAAGCTTGTCTGGGTCATTGCAGAAAGCGTATCCTTTGGGGGCGTTTGAGTCTGACAGTGTTAATTCAAATAGATGACAGCACCTGCATTTGGGAAACATACATCATTACAAGAAAATCAAGAGGAAAATAAACTGTACATGCATTTTATATGCATTTTAAAAGATACAAATACTTTATCATATAATACAAGGAGTACCCCACACTCAGCATGATTAGGATCTGTGTGAGTCAAGGTTTACAGTCTTGTGCCCAAGCCAGCCAAACATTAAAAGCCTGTGACTAAACAGAGAAAAAAAAAGATAGCCCTGCAAACTCTATTTTCTTACTGTGAATGGCTTGCGTTGAATCATCCGCTTGGGCCAGATAATGCTTGCACAAGTTGTCAGATAGTGAGTTAAGCGCCACAAATGGAAGGCGCAAACCTTCGTGGTTAGTTGAGGAAAACAGTGGAAATGAATGAAACGGGGGTTTGTTGCCTCCCACACCAACCACACAGAAGCTCGTCTGTTTTGAGGATTCACGACATCTTTGAGCATGGGGTGTTCTGCCCACAGCACTGGTCACCTGCTGAGAGCTCGCATTGAATTAGGTTACATTATAATTGGATTTTCCGAAGGCACCGCATTAGCATTTTCCATGATCTCACCCTTATTAGCCAAATCACTAATCAGGAGTAGTGCGGTTATATTGTTTGCTGGTTAAACTATCTGCTGCTATAGTGTCTGTAAGCCAGCTCCAAATTCATGCAGAGATAAAAACGCCTCTCTCTCTAACAGAGACGCGGGAGTTTCTAATGTTGCAGTCAAACCATAATTTTCAATAGTTCATGAAAAAGCAATTTCTCTCCAGAGGCCGGTTTGCTCGGTGCTTTGCCTGTGTTCTTCCTGAGTCTGTATTATAAGTTAGGAGTGTCATTTCTTTGATCAGTGTAGGCAAAAGCAGCATCGCTGTAAAATGTAACAGCAGAAAAATCCTTTCTTATGGACTGTTCCCCATTGTGTCCAAAATGAAATTCTGAATATGTTTAATCCTGTAAGGTTATTATTTTAATGCACAGGCCTTTGTATATTGATGGGAATGGAAATACCTGTTCTAAAAGCAGAAGTGACACACACAAGGTGATCTCTGATGACTCTGTCTTTGTACAGCTCAAAAAGCTGTTTGTGTGGGAACTTAAACTCAGATTAACTACTTCTGAGCTATAAGGAAAACACACAGGACATCTCATGCGGCCACCATAGTGCAAAAATCTCAGTTCCTTCTTTCAGGTAGGATCCCAGCAGGTTCGGGTACCTGCCTGAAGGGAAGCAACAACCTTCCAAGTAGATTATCAGGTAATGTTTGCTGAACATCCATTCACCACAATTTTCTGAAAAAATTTCACGGTCTAAATACAATTGCATTTAAAAAGCCAGGTTTTATTCTCAGGATAGAGGTTATACAACGATGTTCAGATTCATTACAAGAATCATTTGGAAATACAAAGCCATTTTCAATGAGAATTTAAACTCATTAAGTATTTCTACTAAAATTCTCCTGATACAAACAAGTACACACAGAAAAAAGCCTGTGATTACAGTTTTCATATCATTTTGGAGCCAAACCAAGGAGAGCTGGAGAAAGGATTCACAGGAGCTGGCCTTGACTCAAAAAGGGGAGTAGGCATCTTCTACCTGGCCTGGTATCAGCAGTACCCTGCTTACAATTACCCAAATGTGTTAAAACAGTGAAGCAGATTTCCTTTTTACCAAACAATCAAGAAAAAGAGTACAGAATTCAAGATGGTATATCAAGAAATCACTCCCTGGAATCAAATAAAAAAGACTATAATTCTCAAACAAAAAAATATCACAACATTATTGGGCTTATAAGCTCTTGAATTCAAACCAGATGTGACCGTCTCTGAATCCCCAGCAATAGCTGCATCTTTTCTCATAAGGCTTTTTAACAGATTCTCATAGGCAGCACAAACAGCATCTTCAGAACAAAGGGCAATAACATTTCCCAGCAGAATTTAAGTGGATCCTGAGGATCACTAGCCTGTATGATCTGCTTTTCTATTGTCCTCGCAGGGATTTCACCAGGCATAAATAACATGCACTGAAGAGATAAGGAGCTAGGGGCAAAAGAACCAGAACAAAACAGAATAATGAAGTTGCAAGACTAGCTTGCAGCCTTTGGTCTACACTTCTCCAGGTTATAGGCTGTCAGCGATGGGCTCCCTTCTCCGAGGATGAATCTGCAAAAGTATATCAATACAAATTATTTTGACATTGAGAAATACAACTCATTTATGATTAATTTCCCTCTATTTTGTAACACATACACACCCCTGGAGCCAATGCTGTACATCATTACAAGCCTGTAATCAATCCAACGCAAATGACAGTAAGTGTGAAGAAGCAAAAGAGGGTAGGGATATCATACAGTAGTCTCTCTCTCTTGACTTTCATCTAGTCCTGATTGTTGATACAGAGCAAACAGTAGGGTCTGGTAACCTAAAGCCCCCATGTAAAATCTTTCTAGACCCCTAAAAAGAACCGCTGACATTCAGCAGTGTTCATAAGCACTAGGTGCACCCAAGAGAGGAGGTAAGTACGACAGAGGGAAGAACTAGGTAGCAGTACCTACTGCTAAGTAGGTGGGTGTGGTTCAAAGATGTGTTTGATAATAACTCATTTGAGCCAGGAAAACAAAATAGAATCTAAGAAAGGAAATATACTATTGCCAGTGTAACACATACTTCCTTCCTGAAGTTTCAAAAGATTCTGGAAATGCTGTAACATACCGCTAGTAGCACACACACAAGTGTACACAGTATTTCGCTTACAAGAGAAACATTAGGAGTGAAATATTTCCAGCAGGGTTTTGAATTTGCCTAGGAGAATTGCTCTGCAGCTGCTACACACTAAACCCATCATTCACGTCCAAACCCACAGTGCTGATGATATCCAAATGTATATGAAAGAAAACTTGATCCAAAAGGTCCACATTTGTAGCAAGTGGCAGTACTGTGAATCATCAATTTTGGTGACACCTTTTCCTTGCAGGTAGTATCAGAGCTAAAATTCAGGTTATTTGTTCACAACAGCCAGGAAGAGCAACGATTAGCAGACTGGTTCTTTGTGCAAGGTAGATAAATATAGATATTTGTGTGTTCATTTCATTTCATTTAATGCAAATAGCCCCCTATAGCAACAAAGACGGTGAAACAAAACTTTTCTAACAAGAAATGTGTTTCCAAGCTTCACATCAAATGTTGGTATTCATATAACAATATAATTTGGAAAAAAAGGAGAGAGGACTTGGATATTCAAACATCTCAGGCAGCTATACAGTGGGGATGTCTTTCAATTATTTTTGTTCCTTCTCAGTCCTGAGTCCCACTGGGACACACTGAGGTCACCCTGCTTATGCCAGGATGCTTTTGGCTTCTAAAGTTCTTGCCCAGCTGGTGCAAACCAGCAGAAACCACAGCATTGCAGGCATGGTCTGCCAGAGAAAAAAGGCAAACTTGATATAACACGTAGTTCCCAAAAACGAAGAGTCTCTCTCACTTAGGATGGCATTAACAATTCAGAAAACCTTCTGGATATTTTGAAGTATGAGCAGGCTTCAGAGCCCAGCACAGAGTACTTTTACACTTAAAACACATGTAACAGGCAAAGGAAGGTGGACTCTGTGTAACAAAGGCAGGTAGCACTTGGCTGCTACTTTAACAAGTAAATGGCATGGAATGAATTTTTACATCGCTTCCTGAGATGATCAATGAGGAACTAAGGATATTTCCAGATAGCAGGTGGATGCTTCATCAAGTCACCAGGAAAGAGAATGATTTAATGAAAACAGCCACCATGTCACCTATCACCGGAAGACAACCGTTGACGTGCCTTTCAGGCAAGTTCCCATAAATGCCTTGATTCTTCCCTGTGTTCCATTCTCAAAGAAAAAAAAAAAAATGCCAGTGTGTGTGAAGCCATTTAAAATCTAACGGGTACTGAATGATAAATCCCAATTTGTTGTTTAATAGAAATAAAATTATCAAATCACACAGCTGTTTAAATTACATATCCTGTTCCTCTTCACATGAGACTTTTCTGCCTGGTACTCTGAAAAACTACAACACGTTCTGTGATCTTTAGCTCAAGCTGACTTAAAAGCAATACCTTTCTAAAAAAGGCAACTTCTCACATTCTGGAGTTCGAAATTAAAGGTGTGCTAATGGCCTTTTTGTCACATTGCAGTAGCAGAAATCAAGTAAAAATCCTGAAAATAATCACGTTTTCATTCCCAGTGGGGATGGCAAGCGGCTAATTAAATCTCACTAGTTGGGAGCACTGATAATTTCTAATGTAATGTATGCACTGAGGACAGGCTAAACACCAAAAATGTTTCGGGTTTGGGATTTTTTCCAGGAAAATTAAAATGTCAGTTAATTGACTTTTTTTCTGTCTGGTTTTCATTGAAGACCTCCACAAATCTATTTTTCAGTTTTTCGGTTCCCCTCCCCCCCGCAAGATGTCATTATTTTTAGTGGAAAACCCCACACTTCTCCCTCCTCTTCTTCCAATTAGCTGTAATTACAACAACATTAGTAGCAAAGTAGGTACCTCGAGGGCAAAAATCTGGAAAGCAGCAGAGTGTGGAAGGGAGTAAGAGATGATATTATAATGGAAGCAAGCGGACACATCATGCTTCTTCATGTGCTCATCTGGGCATCCTTAGGGCTTTGCAGGTTGATTTCTGCCTTCCCTAGGAGTGCCAAGACGAGGTGGTCACCAGCTGCTCACCCTCTCCCACAAGCCTCCGAGCTACCCCTTGAACTGAGAGGTAGGTGAAACGCTACATTTTGTCTTCTCCCTGTGCCTGGCATGACTGGATCCAAAATAAAAACGTACAATTTAGGTCAAAGAAATTCAGCAGTTATATCTGATGTTCTGAAGGGGTAACTGGGGTTCTTAAATACATGCACCGAGAATCCTTCTACCAAGAAAACAAATACAGTAAGATTAATTTTGGAAGTGAAAAAGGTAATACGTGCCAGCAGTTGTGGCATGCAAAAGGGTTCTTGCTCTGAGTACGCTTTGAGCAATAAACCTCTTTTCCAGAGAATTTTTCATTAAAAAACTGGGCTCAGGGAAAATCTCCAAAATCAATCTTTTTTTCAACTGTCTTTTCAATTTTGCACAGTTGGATACGGAAGGAAGTCAACACTGCTTGCCAAATAAAGTGACATTAAGTACACTTGCTGGAATCTTTCTGCCTTGCTCCTTAAAAAGAAGAAAAAAAAAACCCAAAAACCAAAAAACCAAAACCCACAAGAAAACCAAAAAAACCCCCATAACCAAGAACAAAAAGATCAGAAACTCATTCCAGGAACACTGAGTGACAGAACATGGAGAGACTTAGGAGCTAATGACCCTCCAAAGGCAGCATTGCTGGTCAAACAAAGCTAAGCTGGAAGAATTTAAGTACAGTTTAGGATCAGGCTTTCTGCACAGCAACGTACCTGGGCAGGGACCAGCCCAGAGGTGGGCAGGAAGAGTTACTCTCTTGGAAATACATTGCTGGTGCAGTGAGACAACGTCTCATCTCATCATCTTCTTTCTTAATCTCTACCTGTCTCCCATCGCTTACCTTTCCACACTGCCCTTCTCTGTTTTGACCTTCAAGGAAACACCTTTGCTTTTTTGGAAGCCTGATGATTTCTCCTAATCCTGCTTTGCAGACAGGTAGTTGGCCTGTGAGGACTACCTGAGCGGTCTTTCCCTGCCAGCCTGATCTCCGTTGCAGCCTACCTACGGAGCACGGCTGGACACAAAAGGTTCCTATCCATCTCTTTGCCTGGCCTGCTTTCAGCTGGAGGATTTAATGTTTGGGAGGATATGGAGAAGAAATACTTATGTTCACAGACAAGTGGAACTCTGGTATGAGTTATCTGAGTTTTTAAGCAGTTTAACAAGAGGTGCAACATGAAACTTTCTGGATACAAATGCAAAGAAAACGCTAGTAAAATAAGACCAATAAACCTGAATACAGCCCACACCCTCCTATTTGCAAATCGCCTGTTGAATATTTCTGGATTCAGTTCGGATCCCAGTGGTGGCGTGGAAAACTGAACTCTTGATGAGATTGCAGCATGAAAGAGCAGGAGGAGAGGAACCGGGTTAAACCCTCACCTTCCTGTGGCCATGCAGACATACAGATGGCAAGCAACTGCATCCTGCAGCGCAGTCTGGCATGAAAGCCACCCCAAACCATGGGCATGCCATATCAACTCACTAAACACATCATCAAGGACAGAATTTTTTTCCTACCTTTTTTGCAAAAACATATTTTACGTGGTTAGTAATTCTTCACTGTCCCATGCAACCCCTGGCAGGTCGAAGTTGTCTCCATGCTTACCAATGGAGAGGCTGTGTTTTTTAACCTATGAAGCCTACAAAAACCATTTCTAGGGTCCCAAAGCCAGAGGGACCTGAATGGTTCTTTGTTAACTTTTAAAGTAAACTCCCTAAAGCCAGAGACACACTTTTAAAAACAAGTTGAGTGGCTTTATGCAGCCAGGGGAATCATCAACTTCTGGTTAAAGAAGGCAGTTCAACAGTAACTATGGGCAACCATGGACAAATAAAAAAAAATTGATAAAATAATTTAAATCTTGATTAATGAATCAAAAATATAAAGAAAGGCCAAGTCTTATCCACGGAATCCCTTCCTGGATGCCAGAATGTCTACATACAGCCAGTAGTTTTTATTTTACTTATTTAGTCATACAGAGAAATAAAAATGTGAAGTAAATGTAATCAAACACACATACCAGGATTGCTAGCTGTGTTTGGTCACCTCCACATATTCATACACACACACTCCTACCATCACATTTCCATACCCTACATGAACAAAGGCAGGGATAAGATACTCGAGCACGCCCTTGCATCACACTCTCAACTCTGTGTTGAAGGGCATGCTGATGTGATTTCAAGTCTGAGGGCTGGTCTCTCAAGCTGCAGCAGCCAGCCTGTGGCAAGTCTGGGAATAACTATCTCTCTCGATAAAGCAGCTGCAGCCTTATGTACCGCAAGGGCTACAAGACCCTTCTCTTCATCCAGATTCTTAACTGCTCCATAGATACTTAGCTGTAAAACAGAGAGGTAGATCACTAAAACCAACTCCTTATGCTCTTTTCAGTAGGATTAAATCCTTAAACAGCTCCTAGATACTCTAGCTGCAAAATACAGACACATATTTATTTACACCAACAAGAAGTGTAGGGTGGCTCTGAGGTGTTCCAGTCAAAGAAGCATGGACTGCTCAGCACATCACTGAACCTCAATTAACTGACAAATTTCTTGGAAAAGAGGGAGCTGATATAGCCCTGATTAAGTAACAAGTGCTATTCACTACTCTAAACTCTGAACAGACATACAAGGTTTTTGCATAAAGCCGTACTTCATGGCTGTAATCTTAGCAGCTCCTTTTAGCTTCACTCTCTTCATAAAACTAAATTACAAGGATTTCATTTAGATAATTACCATTGTCTTGCTACCATGGAACATCTCTTGTTCATTCTCATTTTGGAAAGAAAAGCTTAATGGAAAAAAGAACAGAGTTTTCTGAGGTTCCTCCCCCCGCCATTCCCCCCTCCCCCCCTTTCCTCTCATCCTTCCTGTATTCCCATCAAGCTATTTCCAGGTTAATTAGAAAGGGCTCAAATCAAAAAGTGCTAGATCCAAACCATGAAAGTTCAGTGCTGGAGGCAACATTGCTCCTCAGACTTGTGCATAAGTAATCCTCTACCAACTACCAAAACATAGATCTGTGGGGAAAATAACAGACTGGAATGGAAACATTGGAAAATAGGATCAAATAGGATTGATCAAATTTCTGTAGCACTTTTTTTTTAAATTTTAAAATATTTCAGTGATTATCCTATTTCTGCAGATACAGGCAAAGAGGTATTTCTTACAGAAAATAGAAAGACAAACTAGGCTTCACAGAGCCAGCAGTCCTTTAAGATAGCCTTCTCTGAACACGGGAGCAGCTAAGAAAAGTGGTGCCAGTCAGAAGAAAAGTACAGATATAGTTACATGAGAGGCAGAAAACATGAGATCACAGCTGGTTACAGAATGACCTGGAGAACCTAAGTCAAATGCCAAAGCACCTGGGTGCAAATAACTTCCTCCCTCACAAAGGAGGAGAGACAGAGAGGCAAACACAATCTAGGTACTTCTATACAAAACTGTAGAAAAAATTAATAATTCATCCTTGGTGACAATATGCCTTTGCAGTCCAAATGACATTCTAGCAAACTAGTTAGAGTTGATGCAGAGACTCTCACAGATTTCAGATATCTTTAAAACAGGCTTTTCTTTGATGGCGTATCATAAAAAATATCAGTTTCCTGATTCATTTCACTTGTGTTCAGCTCTAAAGTAACAACCTGTGACTTGTATTTTGTAACTATTCCTTCAGAAAAAATACCCAGTGCCAAAGGAAAATTAGTTCAGTTAAGGGAAACTTAAGGGTTTTCCCTAGAAACATCAATCTACTGAAAGAGCATTCCTAAAGGAAACTGCCTCATGCCTAAAAGTTGCTGCACTGCTGTTTTGTTTTTCTGTAATGAAACCCTAACTCAGAAGAGATAAGATTTATTGGTCAGTTGATCACCTAATGAGGAAATGAAAGATGAGAAATGAGACTCGGGAATGCTGCCGCTGCACATACTAGCTCATTTAAACCCACCACTGTAATTAGCACTTGTACAAAATAGAACAAAGAAATTGGAACATCAAGAATACTTTCTTCACGTCTTCTTGGAGTTTCTATCTTTGAAACCTTTCTCAAAACACTTAAATGCAGATTTAATATAGGTGACTATATATAATACATAAACCCAGGCTAGTGCTTTTTAATTGATAGTAGAAGTTGGACTTCTCTGTGATCAATGGCTAATAAAATAATCTTTATCAGCAAAGATATGAAGAATAAGAGCCCTGAAGATGTTAAAGCAGACATCCTACAGAGTGCTATGATGAGACTCGTTGAGAATTCCTCTTTATGGGGACTGAAAAAAAAGGGAACGGAAAAGTCTCCAAGTGTCCTACTCACTGTCCCATTGAGAAGAGGTATTTGGATGCTCTGGACAAGGAACAGTAATAGAAAGACAGAACACAGATTTAAAAAAAAAGTTTTTTCAGGGAGCCAGAAGTCAAGTCATATAATAAGCAGTGTAAAAGAACTCTCTTCCTTCAGATCCCCTAACTGTACTGGACCACAGCTGCAGTTGGTGGCCGGACTTGTTTCATTCACTGTTATAAACATCCTCCCTGTATTCTCTGCTGCAGTAAATCACTTCGAGTTTAAGTGGGAGGAACTACAAAATTAATCTCCTGTCCTCTCTTGCAGTCACAGCACTACTTTCACTACGA